AGATGTCCCTAACATTTGTATCGTCGGTCATGCGGGGGGAGGAGGAGTCGGCGAGCAGCAGGGGGGGAGAAATGCCTGAGAGGGTGGGGAGGGAGGCGTGAGGCGCGAGGTGAGGGGGCGCGGGGCGCGGGGCGTGCGTGGGACGCGAGGCGTGAGGCGCAGGGCGTTGGGCGGGAGGGCGCGGGGCGCTCGAGGTTGGGCAGGGTGTGTTGTGTGTGTGTGTGTGTGTGTGTGTGTGTGTGTGTGTGTGTGTGTGTGTGTGTGTGTGTGTGTGTGTGTGTGTGTGTGTGTGTGTGTGTGTGTGTGTGTGTGTTTGTTTGTTTGTGCGAGGGCTGGGCGGGGCAGGGCAGGGCGGCGGCGAGCGGCGAGCGGCGTCGGCGAGATCGGCGATGAAGAGAGGCGATGGTGACGTACACGGCGGCAGTGTTCACGGCAGCAGCGCCGGTGGCGGCCCCGCGCAGCGGCGGCGGCGCCCTGAGTGAGGCAGACTGCCCTGCACAGCCTGCTGGGCACGCTCCCGACGAGCGGCGCGCCATGCGGGCCCGCCGCGGGCGACGTGGGCGGCGAGCCGACACGCGTGTCGCCGGCGTAGACAGCACTGGCGAGGCGAGGCGGCCGGCGCCGGTCCCGGAGGCGGCTGCAGTAAGAGCAGCGAGGCAGAAGTCACTGTCCAAGGCGTACTGAGCGGGCTGCCATCGAGCAGCGCGCCATGCGGGCCTGCCGCGGGCGACGCGGGCGGCGAGCCGACAGGCATCGAAGAGGTAGGTACTGAGGAGGGCCATCGCGCCCGAGGCGGTCCGCGCCGGCCCTGCAGGCCGTCTCAGAGAGCCTGGGAGGCGAGGCTGTACAGAATGCCGAGAGCATACTGGGCAGGCTGCCGTCGAGCGACGAGCCATGCTGGCTCGTCGCAGGCGATGAGGTCGAGGAGCCGATCGGAGCGTCGCAGAGGCTGCCGACCACTGCCGTTCGCCCTCGGGCCCAGGGATGGAAGGCAAGCTTCCTGGCGTTTCTGGCGAGCGTCCAGACGTCGCAGAGCATCCGGCAGGCGCGCAGCGACCCAAATTTTTGCTCACCGCACGGCCGTGCGAGCCGTCGGTCGGTGGTGATGGTCGGCGTCGGCGCGCGCCGACCGACGCGGCGGCGGTGGGCGTCATGTGGCGGGCGTCGGACTAGACATTGTGCGAATATTTCGGCGGTTTTTTGTCACAAACATGTGCATGCACATGTCCCTAAAAATCCCACGTCGTCTCAGAGTTTGACCGTTTTGTTTATTTAAACTTCTTTAGTCCCCCTCTAGAGACAGGGTCAGGGAGGATGAATGACCCCGGCTAGGACGTAGGAGTCGCCGACCACCCCCACGCAAAGAACCCTGCACAAAGATCGCACGGCGGCGGGGACCTGTTCCTTTTTACCCATGCATCTCACAGTAGAGGTGTCCGTTTTTATTTATGTGTATTTAAACTTCAAAAATCCCGCATGTGCGCATCCGGGCTGCGTGGAACGCGTGCGGAGCGTCAGTTGTTGTAGAGTTGGCTAAGGCCCCCCGGCACTCCTCTTTTCGGCTGACTCGCTCACCTCTCACGACTGGCCGGACGATGCGAGCCGCCGCTTTGGCTGCGGCAGCGCCAGCGCGCTGCCGCCGCCCGCGTCGTAGTCGTCATCAAAGTCGCTGAAAGCGCCGTCGAACTCCTCCTCGGCGTCGGCGGCGCCGATGGAGCGCATATAAAAAGCGCCCGCGTTCGGCACGACCTCCTCGGCCAAGAGCAGCGCCAGATGGGCGTGGTAGTCGTCACTGCTCGGCACCTCATCCTCCGCGCCAGCCCCGCCTCGGGCGGCCGCCGCCGCCTCGCCGCCGCCCCCCCCCTCGGCGCCAAAGTAGTCGTCCATCTCGTCTCCGTCCCACCGCGCCGGCGGCTCAAACAATCGGAAGAAAGACGCGACCGGCCGCACCAGCCGCTGCCTCTCCCCGCCAGCCTTGCCCTTGCCCTTGCGCTTCCGCACCATCACCTTGGAGCGCGGGTCGCGCCCCTCGCAGAATGGCGCCGCCGCCGCGCCCACCACGTCGCCCTCCTCGGTGCA